CATATATATATATATGTATATATATATATATATATACACACATATATATATATACATATATATGTTTATAATTATTAACTTCTATTTTAATAATTAGATATTTCGATAATAATATTAATTAAATATCTATTTGTGTTGCTTTGTATGTAACAAAGTAAATTTTTTTTATATAGTCTACTTTTATGAAATATAACTGTATTATTGCATATCTGTATTATTTAAAACATTGTATGTGATACAGCAATGTATTCCATAAATATGCAATGAACTATTATTCACTTGAAATTATTGTATACTTTGTCTTAATGAAGAATTTAATAAATTGTCAAATTTAATTTATGTTAAATGTATATATAAGGTGCAATATTTTGTTTTATGTTGTCTATTTTGCATTTCCAATGTCTAGTTTTTATTATTTATATGTTATTTTAATTTAGGACTTTTTCTCAATGTTATCATGTTTTTTGTAATCAATTTATGAATGTATCAGATTATTGTTTTTGTAAATGGAACTTAAAAAGGAATACATTTCTTATTGCAGGCATAAATGAAAATAAAATTAAGGGTAAATAATGTAAGTGGTTTAAAAACAACTTAATTGTTAGTGTTATAGAGGAAAGTGACAAGACATTCCATAATTTCATATGAAATTTTAGTAAAACACATTGTGATTTAATGGACTTTACACATCATGTCAAATAGTTTGGACAGTTTTTTAACACGTATTGGGGATGTCACTATAGAACGCGTGACTCCTCGTTCAGGCCCTAAGCCTAATGAAACAATGATGTCAAATGAAACTGCAACAAACACAAACATGAATAATGTAGAGCCACAAACAGGAAATGATGAAAGTTCAGATGAATCTAGTGGTGAAACATCTGATGGAGAACATGACAAGAAAAATGATACATTGCAGTCAGAGGAAATAGAAGAAATACGTTCAGAAGGATCAGGAGACGATATGGATTTAGACGAGACAATTGATTCACAAATTGGTGTTCGAGTGGAGTCAGAACGGCAACATCATTCTCAGGTTGAAGAGGATGATGAAGAACCAGTTAATATATTGGATACTTTGCCATTAGAAGGTTTGTATAATATTGCTGTTTTTAAAATTTTGTTAGATTTTAATGTGATACTATTAATAACATTAAATCTTTTAAAAAGGAGCCCCAATAGAGGGGCAAGAAGTGTCTGAAGCAGATTTACTTGGAAAACCAATTTCTAAGGATACAGATGATGAAGGAAGTATAGGAAATGAAAATGACAAACATGAAGGTCATTCTTTGGAAGAAGAAAGTGGGGAGAGCAATAAGAGGCATGCTGATTCAGAACATTCTGATACAGTTAAAAAGAAGCAGAAAAAAGATGATGGAACTGAGGGATCTACATCAGAATGTGAAACAAAAGCAGAAAAGAAATTAGCAAACATGAGGAGAAATATTCGGGAAGTTATGGATGAAACGCAACTTGATGAAGCTACTTTATCAGCTCAGCGACAAGAGATGGAACGTCTTCGAAGGGTACAAGATCAACAAAGAATAATTCGTGAAGTTCAACGTCAGATAGCAATAAATAGACAAAATAATAAAACACAAACAAGAGTAATTAGTCTTTTACAAGGAAAACAAAATCAAGTAGGCACTACTATCTCACAATCATCTCCATCTGCACCAGTTCGTTTACCAAATACAGTGCTTCTTAAAGTAAATTCTGGATCTGGGACTGGATCTCAGACTACTTCTAGTATGCAAACAAATCAAATACAAAGAAGGACAGTAGAAGGATCTCGAAGGCAAAATGTTAGAGGTGTTTATCAAAGTGCACAAACATCAATTTCAAGAGTTGCTAATCGTCCTAGTGGCCCCAATATGTTGCAACAGAGAATTCGAATGATGACTCCTTCTGTGAGCATATCTCCTGTAGTTCCTAAAAAGGAACCTATGGATAGATCTGAATATTACTCAGATTCTGAAATCTCAGATATAGAAGCTGAAGAGGCTTTACGTGAAAAACAAATACATGCTGCTAAAAAGATGTCAACTGGACTAAAGTCTCAAAAAACAGCTAAAGGCAAAGATGTAGTTACAATATCCAGTTCTAGTGAAAGTTCAGATGATGATTGCATAGTTTTAAGTGATCCAAGTGGTGAAGAAGAAACAGACAACGAAGATGATCCATCCAATTCTGGCATGCACACTAATGATAGATATAACATTCCAGATGAACATGGTAGAGTGTTAATAAATGTGGGTCATCCTGAAACAGAGCCTGATGTATTTTTAGCTCCACAGGTAGCTCGCATTATTAAACCTCATCAAATTGGTGGTATTCGTTTTCTTTATGATAATATTGTTGAAAGTATTGAAAGATTCAAAACTAGCTCTGGTTTTGGTTGTATTCTTGCTCATAGTATGGGTTTAGGAAAAACACTTCAAGTTGCTAGCTTTTGTGATATTTTTTTTCGATGTACTACTGCTAAAACAGTGCTTTGTATTATGCCTATTAATACATTGCAAAATTGGTTAGCAGAATTTAATATGTGGTTACCATATGAGGATCCTAATGCTATGGAGAAACATGGTAAAGGTTCAGATATTAAATCAGAATCTGTTGTTGAGCTCAAGCAAGAAGTTAAAGATGAAAGTGGGAATCAAAGTGACATGTCAAACATGTCAAGTATGTCAAATATTTCAAGGCCTATCAGTACAGAATCAGCTCATCGTTTTGGTCAAGAAAATACATCTCAATCTATGAATATTATGCCAGAAAATCCATATATTCATCAAGGATATGAAACCCACAGTATGATGCCTGGTTATGTTCAGGATAATATGCTGAATAAAAATATATCAGAATCACAAGTACATATGAATGAAAATTATCACAGTGATATTTCACAAAATGCTTTGTATAATACAAATACTAATCCAATATCCACTTTTGATTCAATGAAGTCAGAAATAAATTGTCATAGCATGCAACAAAGAGCAAATATGTCAGATACAAAATTTGGAGTAGAAAATCAGAATTCTAGCAATATGTACTCTGCTTTAGAAAATCGACCACAAGGTCCTATGTATCCAGGTATGGAAACACGAAATTCTAGCACTTTGTATCATGGAGTTGAAAATCATTCTGGATCTATATATCCTAATTATGACAACTCTAATAATACCTTCCCTAATTATACAAATCGATCAACTCAAGAATCAGATCAAGAATCAAGGAAAGATTGTTTTAAAAGTGCTTTACCTTCTATTAATACAGAGATTAATGTAAAGAAAGAACCAGAAGAAATAGTCAAAAAAGAGGAGAGTATTTGTACAGCAAAAGAAGAAATTGTAAATGAAGAGAAAAAGGAAATTGAGAAAGTTAAAACTCCATT